CGTCACCAGCATAGACATGCTGCTGGCCCAGCACAGGTAAAGCGATCCGTCGGTGTTCGTCAGCCTCTTCTAATTGAGGTGTAAACAAAGAAGAGAAAAAGAAACATTCGGAATTATCTCTTATGTCTATTTCTACCAATGCAGATTAACTTTAATTTCAGTTTAATTTACTTTTTATCTTTTTCTAATTCTTAGAACTAGAAAAAGATAAGTTCAATCGAGATTAAAGTTAATATACATTGTTGGGATAAAACGTTAGAGTATAAAAAATGTGTTAAAGAGTTTTGTGATCTTTGTAACACAATCCTCGTACAGACATTACATCGAAATCGAAGTTGGCAGTCGAGTCATTTCTTGCTCGAGAAAGATATACGGCTACCTTTGAGAGATCCGTTTCAAAGTCCTGTTTCGCATCTTGTTCTCTTATTCACGCGTTTCATCAGCATCATGATCTCCGTTGTATCGGCAGGGACTTCACGGTCCTGACGCCCGACGAGCTCGAGGACCTCGTGGGCCGGCCGGCGTCCAACAATCTGGAGAACAAGCCGCACCGGCAGGGCCACAACACCTAGGTACCGATCGCCTCGAGGAGGGCACCGCCTTCCGCGTCGTCATCGTCCCCGCCGTGCTCGAGCACCACCACGCCGCCGTCGTCCGCCGCGTCGCCGCCAGGACCAAGCTCCTCCATTCTCTACACGCATCGTTACGATACGCGCGAGCATAGTTTGGTTTAAAATCGATGTGCACATCACACCCGCCGCCGTCATTAGCGTTTAGGGCCGCAAGGGCCTCCTCACGCAAATTTTCTAACGCGTGCACCGCGCAGCCGAGGGTCCCGCGAGTGGGACAAGGGTCTTTTCGGGGAGGGGGTAGGCTTAAAGAAACGTAAAACTCGTCGCCGCGAGCGAGGAGACTAGCCGATGCACGACACGTAGATTTCATCGTTTCACCAAAAATATTCCGACGACGATTCAGAGAGGCTTCGTTGATTCAACCCGCCGTCGAGCCGAATCACGTGTGCGAAACGGTTTTTACAGATGCGTGTGTATACGAATTCGAAATCTCATAAGCGTCTTTGAGAAACATATGCTTTGTATTTTACGTATCGCTTGCACGTATTTTGCATTCTCTCGAGCGTAAAAATTAAATCTCCTGCGGAACACGCTCTTTTTCTGTTCTCCGAAATGTGACTGTCAAGGATACTTTCAATTGCAAACGCTTTGCGGTTTGATTACTGAAATTTTAACAATGATATTTCCACGCTGCAGAAAAATATATACTTTAATCTTTAATATCTCTAAAAAAATGTTTTAGTCAATCTGTAATGACGGGTGTGTTATTTTCTCAAAGACTAAATTGTGTTCAATTCACGAATGAATGAAGTACGATACCGAGTAACTTCGTCGCGAATCTTCATCTCGATTTAAGTATAGATACATACATAAATAAATAAATATATATATATATAGCGTTGTATAAGACATACTTACGATAGGATTTGAAAATTTTCGCGATTTGTTATAGGGCGATAAAGAGGAAAAGACGAGATCGCGCGCGTAAAGAGGATCTTCTCGCAAGTCTCGCGAATACTTGTGTGTTCGTTAAATATTGAAAAATGCCGTCTTATACGGAGGTATGCGCGATATGTATAGCCCCGTGTCGACAGGCCACGTATAATGTCAAGATCATTTGCGGGAGGAAAGGGTAAAACGACACAATAAATCGGGATTGGATGAGTAACGACGAACCTCACGAGCAATGAAACATACCGAGATCGATATAATACGCTTGTACAAAGTGGCGTGCAAAAAGTGGGAATCAGCAGAGCGGGTGTGCACGTTCGTATGCGTGTGTGTGTGTATGCATTGAGTTTCAAAGTCCTCGGCAAAAATTTGTGCGCCAGGCGCAATTAGATTTCTCTCACCTTCGAAACTTCTGAGCTTCTAATTGTTCGTCCGGGATACGGGACCTTGATTTATAAATTCTCCGTCGAAAACGAGGTCGCCGCGAGGCCGCGAGAATGCCCGAGTATGCTGATCTCTACCTTTTGCGCGAACCATTATATATAGACGCGGACGTTCAGGATGGGTATCGGATATCGAATCAACAACGGTCTCTCTCTCCCTCTCTCTCTCTCGTTAGGGAAACGAGAAATCTGATATTTATCCTGGCCGCAGCGAGTTTATCGATCCCATCTTTGATAGAGCGTCTCCGGCTCGGGGGTTTCGATTCTTTAGGGGGCGGAAGTTATTATTTCGTGGCCGAGAATGAGAAAGTACGCGGAAATTACGCCTAACGTAGAAATATAAATCAAAATACATAGGAGACTAATGGATAAGTGATTCCGATCCGCATTTATTCACTTTGTACGCTAAAAGAGGGTATCGTTTAGGTTTATTCTTAAAAATATTCCGTAAGATTATTATCGTAAAACAGGCAGATTCTAACATATTCATGCGTTTGACCATTGCAAACGCAATCTCGTCAGATTGCACTACTGTTTAATTGGGAATTGACAAATTGACACCCAACAAAATATTTTATCGAGTGTACACTCGATACGTGTCTGTTATAGAATTTACAAAATCGGTTGAAACTTCGGTTGAAACTTCGGTTGAAAGTAACGATATTGTCTAAGTCTCGAGCTTTTTGTGTAAGGGTATTAATTTCGAGCGAGCGAAATGCAGCTTCTCTCGAAGAGGAAACATATCTACCGAGACGGCTACGAGTAGAGATATATTTTTATCATATCATTCTAGCGAATACGCGCGAAGGAGGGAGACGGCGATTAAGAGATTAAAAAAAAACTGTCCACTGTTTATCAATTAAAAAAAAAAAGGTTTGCATTCGCCGTAAGATTCCTATTGAATGTTTGCCTTAATTTCTGACGACTATAGAGATCGCCATTAAACATTAACAATAAATTCTATTTGAGAAATTCTAGTCGCGGGCGAAGGAAAAGCGCGGTTTAATCATATTTTAAAGTTCAACCCTTAAATTCGGTGTATTCGAACACCGTTCGTCGCGCGACCGAGGGAGAAACCCTCGCCAGGATATCATTTGCTGCGGTAGGACTTGAACGCGACCTTTTCGGGCGATGTGCAACAGGAAGAGATGAACCCGCGGATATATCATCAGTTAACAACAATGAAATGTTACATTTGGAAGAGGAGCTCGGAAATCCACCGGGCGATTCCGCGTCTGAAAAAGTTAACACCACGGTTCCCAGTTGCACGAAAAGATCGGACGTAATTTTAAGAGATTCAACGCACAGAATTAGCCGTAAGCATTTTTATAATGGTGTTCTATGTATATTAATACTATTGCTAATACTGTTACTCGTCACACTCACACAAACACGAACAAACGAACAAACAAACGAACAAACAAACAAACAAACAAACAAACTAACTAACTAACACACACACAGAAACACAGCCCGATTGTGATCCGGCCGCGAATCGGTCGGCGGAAGTGTTCTTCGTACATGTTGAAATCATCATTCCTAGGACTGAATAGTAAACACGCGCCTAGCCTTGTACATATACGAACGTTTGTAACGCGAGAACAAAACAGAAAAGAAGACAAACCGGGATCGGTGATGCAACTGATCTTTTGAGACGAGATTTGCCGATTTTTAATTAACGTTTAAAGCAGATCGTGCGAAGATCTTTCGCGGAAACATCCGTCAGCCGCGATTGCAGCGTTTCTCTAGAATCAACGCATCTCATAAATATATCGCCGGATTTGTTTGACCATGAAGATATAACGGTCGATCTTCGGGATGTTCGTTCCAACTAAAACAAGTCCGTTATTTCCAGGAAACACGATCGTCCGTTCGATTGACGCAAATTGATAATTAATCGAGGAAATTTTTAATGGAATTTCTTACGTTGGCGCTCTCGAAAGTGGATTCAGCCACGTGTCAATTTAATTTTATCGAGTTCCAACACGTGGACTCTAAAACGCCTACGAGACTAGCCGAGACGCTGCAATCGCGTCGCACGAAGAAAATATCTCCGTATCCGTGCTGCATATAAAAATGCATCGCTTAATCTTATGACGTAACAGTATAATATCGTATCGAGAAAGTTTTACCGGATAAGACTTAGACTTTAATAAGGTAGCGCGTAAATGTAAGAGGAATGTTATATCGTGAAGCGTTCGCGATGACGCGGTCATCATTGTTGAGGCTGGCCGTCTTGGGGCGAGATAAAAAGGGAATGCGCGATCTTTCGTTATTTTATTCCGTATTGCTGCTGCAGTAACGCATAGTTTTACTGCGAAATTGCTATTTATATACGATAACGATTTTATGTATATAATATATATTATATAATATTATGTTATATTATATATTATAATATTATATGTATATCGGTGATGCGGTGTCATACGTCATAATGTATTCGAGTCACACGGGGTTTTCGACGTGAGGGGCACCGAACCCCATCTATCACTGCCAAAGATTCATCGTAAAGCAAGAAATGCGGACGTCAAGGCAATCACGAAGAACGTCGGCTAAAAACAGTAAAACCGCGGCTCCGTCAATCGAAACCTCAACAATATGTTCCGCCATTGTGAACATGTCGAAGACATTTTGCGTATAGAACAGCTATGAAATATACGATATATTATACATTACAGATATTTTATCGGGAACATTCTGACTTGCTTAAAAAGTTGCGTTGATCCGTATATTTTGTAAGCGAAGATTATCAATAGCAGTTATATATAATAAATATTACTACTACGATACCTATGTCGCCGCGATCATTAATTATACCTCGAATCTCCTCCTTCAATTTCAGCAACACTAGAAAAAAATATTAAATATATATTTATAAAATTAGTCCGTATGAAAATCTATGAAATTAATCTATAGGTCTACATCTATAAAAAAAAAGGCAAGATTTGTCGCTCAAAAGTCGCGTGGAAACGCGGAAGCAATAGGAAGGCAGGAGAAATGGTGAACGACAGAGAGTAAATAGCACGAGAGCTTGACTCTGGTCGTTATAATTTTTCAATAAAAGATTTATTCGTAATTAAATCGAATTAGGGATTAAATGATATACATGCAAAGAAATCGCGAATCTTTCTTTTCTCTAATACTCTTCCTTGACATATTTATATATATGTATATACTCTGCAAATTTTACGTTCTCTTTACATTTCTTTTCACCTTCTCCTGTAACTATATACGAAAATTGTTATTAAAAGGCTCTCCGATACAGTGACATGTACCGTTCAATTTTCTAAACACTAAACATACAAACGTTAAAAATCATGATATACGATAACTTGCGGTAAAAACATAATAAAACGCTTATTTTTATTTGGATCATTATTAGCTATGGGGGTAAAGTACAGGTTTTCAACGACAATATGTTGGCACTGTCACTTTAGGACGTTTCTTGGATTCCATTTCTGAAAAGAATTCTTTAATATCTTCTTCACGTACGACCTTCTTGTTTTCAGCAAACTTCTGTAAATATTGCATGAGCCGTTCCTTCATATTGTTGTATTCTGTGAACGATATAAACAGTTTAACGTTAATCGAAAGAAAGATTTATTTTTTGAAAGATTTAACGTTTTCGAAAACATTTCATTAGAATAACTACACAATCTCTGTAATTTTACCTTCAATCGCTGTTAACTTTTGTACGTGCCCCATGCTGGCAAGAGCCTTCATGCCTTTCTCATATTGAGATTCCTGTTTGTTCATTTTGCCCGCTTCCTCATACGCTTGTACGCTGTCTTTTGGGTCGAGCAGAAATGCAACGTCTTTTGCACTATACAACTGTAATAATGGTAAAAAGTACGATAAAAGACTGTCACATACAAAGAAATCTATCTGAGCTTTTAATATAATAATAAAAGTATCTGAAAAGTCGATATCTCACCGATTTGCACTCGTCGCAAGTACACAACGCGGTTCTCCAACCCTCTATCCAAAAACAGCTTCCCTTAGCATCGGCACAGCTATGTTTTGGCATTTGACATCCTTTTGGCAACTCACTGACATCTACCTCCTCGTTTTTCTCAGCTACATCCGCTTTTGCATCGGCTTTCTTTGGGACTGCTAGCAGCAAAATAACATACCAATAAGTTTACAATTAAAGCAACTTTCGGGTGTGATAAAAGTTTTAATAACCTGCATATTTCGTCGCATATTTCCACAGAAAGTTGTGCTCTCTCATACAGCCTGTGCAGATCATTTCATCGTACGCGTTATCTGCTGGCGCGTTGTTGCCGCAATCTAGATGCTGAAGAAAAATTGCATTAGACATAAAAACTTTCAACGTCACAGAAGGATCACCCTGCATTATTTACCTTCAAATGATACCAATCCTCACATATTACACACTGCAGCATATCATCTTCATCGCCTTCCGGATCGGGATAAGGTCTCGCACAGGTACAATAAACCCCATCAAAGTTCTGATTGTATTTATTTTCGGTATTGGTAGCGGACTTGAGCTAAAAAGCACAACGAGCAAGGTTAATCGAGGCAAGTATAACTTTATATAAAACATACATCTCATAGAAAACCCATTACCTTCTCTAGATTGCACTGCTTGCCATCAAACTTGGTATTTCCACAGTCGCACCTGAAGTGCCGCTTCGTATACAGCTCCACAAGTTCGTGACCCTCGTGACAGTGAAAGCTGCACGCTAAGCACACGGCAGCTTGGACCTTGTTTGAGCAGCACGTCTTGCACGCGTACAACGCCTGTCTTATGTATCCCTGCGAACAGTCGTTCAAGAACAAAAGCGTCAGCCAAGTCAACGGATGGAGAACGGAACGGGGTGAGTGAATCGCGACCCTGTCGCGAGCGAGGTCAAAAGTGGCGTACCTTGCTGTAAGTACAATTCTGGTCGTCGGACGCGCCCAGAACGGCGTATGCGTCCTCCTCGAGCTGATTTTCCACTTGGAGAACGTCGAGCATCGTGACGGAGCTATCGTCCTCCACGGACTCGGCCAGCTTGTCGGACATGGCTCCGATCTCCGTTGCGAAACGTGGAAGGAAGACGACGACGACGACGATGGCGACGACGAAGGTCCACCCCGCGGGTAGATCGCGGGACAAGGGAATTCGAAATCGGGGCTGTGAACGGCTTCCACGGGCAGCCGAGGGCGCGGAAGGTTAAGATCGAAACTGCGAGCGTCGTACGACTCACGGGCTGACGGCGACGCGTTCGGCGCGACGCATCTTATCGACCTTGCCACAAACTTTCGTCCTTTTCCGACGAAGGAACCGCGCGTGCTTCCCGGGCTCTTCCCCTCAACCGCGTCGCATCGGGACGTCAACGGCGATCCTCGTCACGTCGCGGCATGCCGGAGAGAGACGCAATCGCGATTCAAAACCCCCAGGGTCACCAAACGTCCCGTCAAAACGCGCGTACACTCATGGACAAAAAGTGCGCGGCGTTTCCCTCCAACGCAACAACGGACTGCCTGCGCGCGCGCGTGCGCGCATTCGCGTCCAAATGAAAGATATGACAATGCATGCTTTCTCAGGGGACAGATGGAGTTTAGACATTTTATTCGAACGGGATTTAGATTCCAAATCCTTTTTTATTCCGTACTTGTGCGAAATTTGTCGCTCCTTTATCGAGATTATAGTCGAGATTGGTCGGAACGGGGCGTCTCCCGACTCGGAATTGTCCAGGGAATGTATACCTCGAGAGCAAATCCGATTCAAAATTTGCGTTCATCCAGGAGATTGTAATCTGAAGAAAGAAATAAAAATCAAATTCGAATTAAATTATCGAAAAAGAGAGAGTTATACCTATATATAAGAAAAAAAAACTGTGTCGTAATCAAACTCCGATGGAATATTATCGATTACGAATATCGCGTTCCAAAACGCATCCGAGGGTAATGCGCGCGCGCGTTTGAGTTTGAGTACTTATTTGTTTAAAAATTGTAAAAAAATTAATATAATCTATTTTAAAACTAACTATACTGATCAGAAGATAAAGAAATTGCTACGCAGCTGGGCTACGAGCAATTTCTTTATATATCGTTCGACGCATTCGCTCGGCTGTTTCGCCGGCTTAAAAACGGGGCCCGCCAAGAAATTTCGATGATTGTCAAAAATCAAACTTACCCGGCTCAACGGTTATTACAAAGATTTTAATGTATAGCTTTCTTGACAAAACAAAGATTGGAAATTCCTTCGATCTGTATACGTCGGCAACCCAGTATTGTGGCGTCCCCTGAAATATCGTAGACGACTGAATAGAACTAATAAGCCAAATGGTGATCCGATCGATGAATGTATGCCAAATCAATCTGTAAAAAAAAAAGATACATTTTTGGATTGATAAAAAAGATCAAGGAATATGAAGCAAAGAATTTTGAGAATTATTGCAAGTAATGATATACGTCTACTACCGTTATTACTACCACAACTCTTATCACTTATATATTATATAAAATATTATTATATAGAGAATATTGTATAGTCTAATCGCAATTTTGTTTTTTTGTACAAGAACAATGTAAAAGTTATTTTTCTAATTATTTTTCAATTATTCTTATTATTTTATATATATATATACACACAATATATATATATGTGTGCATATAAGAGAAAGAAATAAATGGAAAAATTTTATTAATGCTTCGGAAATACAATAACAAACATTGAAACAAGTGGTTCTTTTTTAAATACGTCGTTGTGATGAAGTTTATTAATTATCTCGATGTATCAATAATTATTCATTAGCATGTTAAATTTATCGCTACAAGAATATAGAATTATAACCGCCGAATGTAATATAACGCAAAATTAACAAAGAAAATTACTGACAATTAATAACAGAACAAATAATGGTAGAAATATAAGAAATCAATGACACAGGACTTTCGTGTGTGCGCGCGCGCGCGTATGTCCAAGGTATCTTCAACCTCCACATCGATCCGGCAAAATTTAAACTGAACGGTAGCGT